AAATACGTGATTGATGGTCCGAGGGTCGAAAACCATACTCCTTTGAGTCTTAAACATGATAAGGAGGGTGGTTGTGCAAACATTGCTTTGAAAATGCATTGCCATGCTCTGTTTGCCTTTTGCTGCAGCAAAACAAGATTCTGCAGGAAGAGATGGCCGGTCGGCCATATTCAGTGCCGGCCGGCAATGCATTGTTGGCCGAGAGCCTCACGCATGGTCGATGACTAGTTTCCCATGGCCGGTGGCCTTGCCTTTTGGCCGGTGACCTTCCATAGTGCTCAGAAGGTGGTTCAGAAACATCCTGGAGACTTGTGCAGTTTTCAGAAGTGCAGAGCAGTGTAAACAGAGGCAGCATGAGCATGGCGATGGATTTCTGAGCGAAACCGAACATGCATGCATTCATCCCTCTTCCCGAGGCCTCTTTACTGCTTTCTTAGCTTAATTAATTCATTTAATTAGTTAAGTGTTGTGTAATAATTAATTAGCTTGTTAGCTAGTTAATTTGTATTATTCTTTCGGTCCTTCCGAGAGAGGGCAAATTGTGTAATAAGCGTGCGTGTGAGTGATGCATGTCTTCTAACCCCACGTCTTTCTTTCTTTTATTTAACTGCTTACAATGGGTAGTTTTAGGGCACGTTTCAATTAGCATACTTATGATAGCAAGTTTGCACACATTCATTCGTATTGTATGCACTGGGCTCGGCAAATCATGCTAACTGCATTATATTTCAACTCCAATTTGAATACATGTATCAAGTTGCATTTCACATGACATCTTAGAATAGCCAAGCCTATTTCTAGTTGCATTTTGCATGTGTTGCATTCGCACGTCCTGAGATGAAACCCGTCCAGGGCGGCGTTTCACGCGGCCTGAGATAAAATCGCTCTGGCCGCGTTTCACGCATCCTGAGATAAAATCACTCGGGCACGTGCTTCGTACGTCCCAAGATGAAACCTACCGAGGGCCGCGTTTTACACGTCCTGAGAAAACAAAAGCTATACAAGATCAGACTAACAATGGCGACCCAGATAGCCTTTTGGTACATTTCGAATGAAGAAACATTTTGTCCTTGAAATTTCAGTTGGATGAAGGCAAGGAACATCTAAGGGAAGACAGTGAGGACGGCGTGGAGGGAAGTGGGCTGCGGCTGGGGGTGGAGGTCGGGGTGGGAGAGGTAGAAGCTCTTCGAGTTCACAAATAAGACGTTGATGTTGTTGTTTTTGTTGCTCATGTCTTGGATTTAAGGCCCTGTTGGGCGGATTTTGATCTGCCACAGATGGGTAAGAACATTTCAAGCGTCCTGAGATAAAATTGCTCAGGCGCGTGCTTTGCACGTCCAGAGAAGAAACCCACCCCGGGCAGCATTTCACACGTCCACAGATAAAACCGCTTGGGTGCTTGCTTTGCACGTACCGAGATAAAACATCTTGAGCTCGTGCTTCGCACGTCGCAAGATGAAGCCCACCTAGGTCTACGTTTCACGCGTCCAGAGATAAAACCTCTCAGGCGCGTGCTTCGCACATCCCAAGATAAAACTGCTCGGGCGCGTATTTCATTCGGCCCGAGATAAAACTAGCCCAGTGTCGCGTTTCACACGTGCTAAGGTAAAACAACTCAGGCACGTGCTTTGCACGTCTAGAGATGAAACCCGCCAAGGGCCGCGTCTCACGATTCCTAAGATAAAACTGCAAGGGCACGTGCTTTGCATGTCCTGAGATGAAACTGGTCAGGCGTGTACTTCGCATCTCCAAAGATGAAACCCGTATAGGGCCATGGTTCACGCGTCTCAAGATAAAATCGCTCGGGCACGTGTTTCGTACGTCCCGAGATGTAACCTGCCCAGGGCCGCGTTTCACACGTCATGAGGTATCAAAAGCAATACAAGATCAGACTAACAGTGGTGACCTAGATGGCCTTTTTGTACATTTTGAATGAAGAAAGATTTTGTCCTTCAAATTTCAGTTGGATGAAGGTGAGGAACATCTGAGTGAGGATGGTAACGATGGTGTGGTGGGAAGTGGGTTATGGCTGGAGGTGGAGGTAGAGGTGGAGGTGGAGGTGGGTGTGGGAAAGGTAGAAGCTCCTCGAGTTGACAAATAAGACGTTGATGTCGTTCTTGTTATTATTGCTCATGTCTTGGATTTAAGGCCCTATTAGGCTGATTATGTTCTGCAAAAGATGGATACGAATGAGTTAGAACACAGTGAGAAATATGCAAAATCGAGGGTATAGAGTATTGAGATAAGAAAGAATGGAATGGAGTGGTTACGAGGCTACCAAGCCTTGACTTTCAATGCTTGAGGCGTTTGTGGCTTTTATACTACGTTGCCAGGAGTTGGCTCAGTGATCCATCCAAGCGCTGATTAAGCCTCACCAAAACGAAGGGCTGATTAAGCCTCGCACGTCCCGAGATGAAACCTGCCCGCGACCTGAGATAAAATCGCTCGGGTGCGTGCTTCTTACGTCCCAAGATAAAACCGCTTAGGGGCATGCTTCGTATGTCCCGAGATGAAACCCGCCCATGGCCGCGTTTCACGCATCCTGAGATAAAATCACTCGGGCACGTGCTTCGCACGTCCCGAGATGAAACCTATCGAGGGCCGCATTTTACGCGTCCTGAGAAAACAAAAGCTATACAAGATCAGACTAACAATGGCGACCCAGATAGCCTTTTGGTACATTTCGAATGAAGAAACATTTTGTCCTTGAAATTTCAGTTGGATGAAGGCAAGGAACATCTAAGTGAGGACAGTGAGGATGGCGTGGAGGGAAGTGGGCTGCGGCTGGGGGTGGAGGTCGGGGTGGGAGAGGTAGAAGCTCCTCAAGTTCGCAAATAAGACGTTGATGTTTTTGTTTTTGTTGTTCATGTCTTGGATTTAAGGCCCTGTTGGGCGGATTTTGATCTGCCACAGATGGGTAAGAACATTTCAAGCGTCCTGAGATAAAATTGCTCAGGCGCGTGCTTTGCACGTCCAGAGAAGAAACCCACCCCGGGCAGCATTTCACACGTCCACAGATAAAACCGCTTGGGTGCTTGCTTTGCACGTACCGAGATAAAACATCTTGAGCTCGTGCTTCGCACGTCGCAAGATGAAGCCCACCTAGGTCTACGTTTCACGCGTCCAGAGATAAAACCTCTCAGGCGCGTGCTTCGCACATCCCAAGATAAAACTGCTCGGGCGCGTATTTCATTCGGCCCGAGATAAAACTAGCCCAGTGTCGCGTTTCACACGTGCTAAGGTAAAACAACTCAGGCACGTGCTTTGCACGTCTAGAGATGAAACCCGCCAAGGGCCGCGTCTCACGATTCCTAAGATAAAACTGCAAGGGCACGTGCTTTGCATGTCCTGAGATGAAACTGGTCAGGCGTGTACTTCGCATCTCCAAAGATGAAACCCGTATAGGGCCATGGTTCACGCGTCTCAAGATAAAATCGCTCGGGCACGTGTTTCGTACGTCCCGAGATGTAACCTGCCCAGGGCCGCGTTTCACACGTCATGAGGTATCAAAAGCAATACAAGATCAGACTAACAGTGGTGACCTAGATGGCCTTTTTGTACATTTTGAATGAAGAAAGATTTTGTCCTTCAAATTTCAGTTAGATGAAGGTAAGGAACATCCGAGTGAGGATGGCAAGGATGGCGTGGTGGGAAGTGGGTTACGGCCGGAGGTGGAGGTAGAGATGGGGGTGCGAGAGATAGAAGCTCCTTGAGTTGACGAATAAGACGTTGATGTTGTTGTTGTTGTTGTTGTTCATGTCTTGGATTTAAGGCCCTATTGGGCTAACTATGTTCCGCAAAAGATGGATAAGAATGAGTTAGAGCAGAGTGAGAAATATGCAAAATCGAAGGTATAGAGTATAGAGATAAGAAAGAAGGGAATGGAGTGGTTACGAGGCTACCAAGCCTTGACTTTCAATGCTTGAGGCGTTTGTGGCTTTTATACTACGTTGCCAGGAGTTGGCACAGTGATCCATCCAAGCGCTAATTAAGCCTCCCCAAAACGAAGGCCAGATTAAGCCTCGCACATCCTGAGATGAAACCAGCCTAGGGCGGCGTTTCACGCGTCCTGAGATAAAATCACTTGGGCACGTGCTTCTCACATCCCGAGATAAAACCGCTCGGGTGCATGCTTCGCATGTCCCGAGATGAAACCTGCCCAGGGCCGCGTTTCATGCATCCTGAGATAAAATCACTCGAGCGCGTGCTTCGTACGTCCTGAGATGAAGCCTACCGAGGGCCATGTTTTAAGCATCCAGAGAAAACAAAAGCTATACAAGATCAGACTAACAATGGCGACCCAGATAGCCTTCTGGAACATTTCGAATGAAGAAACATTTTCTCCTTGAAATTTCAGTTGGATGAAGGCAAGGAACATCTAAGTGAGGACAATGAGGATGGCATGGCGGGAAGTGGGCTGTGGCTGGAGGTGGAGTTCGGGGTGGGAGAGGTAGAAGCTTCTCGAGTTCACAAATAAGACGTTGACGTTGTTGTTTTTGTTGTTCATGTCTTGGATTTAGGGCCCTGTTGGGCTGATTATGATCTGCAAAAGATGGATAAGAATGAGTTAGAATACAGTAAGAAATAGGCAAAATCAAATGTATAGAGTATTGAGATAACAAAAAAGGGAATAAAATGGTTACGAGGATACCAAGCTTTGATTTTCAATGCTTGAGGCGTTTGTGGATTTTATACTGCTTTGCTAGGAGTTGGCTCAACGTGTTACGATCCTCTACATTGTAAATCCTAGAGTGATCTCAGTGATCCGTCCAATTGCTAATTAAGCCTCACCAAAACAAAGGGGTAATTAAGCCTCGCACATCCCGAGAAGAAACTCACCCAGGGATGCGTTTCAAGCGTCTTAAGATAAAACCTCTTGGGCGTGTGCTTCGCACGTCCCAAGATAAAATCGCTCGGGCACATACTTCACACGTCCCGAGAAGAAACCAGTCTAGGGCTACATTTCAAGTGTCCTGAGATAAAACCGATCAGGCGTGTGCTTCGCACGTCCCGAGAAGAAACCCATCCTAGGCCCCATTTCACACGTCCACAGATAAAATCACTTGGGCACTTGCTTTGCACATCCAGAAACAAAACAGCTTGAGCTCGTGCTTCGCTCGTCCCAACATGAAACCCACCAAAGTCCGCGTTTCACGCATCCAGAAACAAAACTGCTCGGGCGCGTACTTCATACGGCCGGAGATAAAACTTGGCCAGTGTCGCATTTCACATGTGCTAAGGTAAAACCGCTCAACCACGTGCTTTGCACGTCTAGAGATGAAACCCGCCAAGGGCCACGCCTCACGATTCCTGAGATAAAACTGCCAGGGCACGTGCTTTACACGTCCTGAGATGAAATCGGTCAGGCGTGTGCTTCACATGTCCCAAGATGAAACCCGCGTAGGGCCGTGTTTCATGTGTCTCGAGATAAAATCGCTCGGGCACGTGTTTCGTACGTCCCGAGATAAAACCTGCCCAGTGCCGTGTTTCACACATCATGAGGTATCAAAAGCAATACAAGATCAGACTAACAGTGGCAACCTAAACGACCTTTTTGTACGTTTCAAATGAAGAAAGATTTTTTCCTTCAAATTTCAGTTGGATGAAGGTGAGGAACATCTGAGTGAGGATGGCAAGGATGGCGTGGTGGGAAGTGGGTTACGGCCGGAGGTGGAGGTGGAGGTGGGGGTGGGAGAGGTAGAAGCTCCTTGAGCTGACGAATAAGATGTTGATGTTCTTCTTGTTGTTGTTGTTCATGTCTTGGATTTAAGGCCCTGTTGGGCTGATTATGATCTGCAAAAGATGGATAAGAATGAGTTAGAATACAGTAAGAAATAGGCAAAATCAAATGTATAGAGTATTGAGATAACAAAAAAGGGAATAAAATGGTTACGAGGATACCAAGCTTTGATTTTCAATGCTTGAGGCGTTTGTGGATTTTATACTGCTTTGCTAGGAGTTGGCTCAACGTGTTACGATCCTCTACATTGTAAATCCTAGAGTGATCTCAGTGATCCGTCCAATTGCTAATTAAGCCTCACCAAAACAAAGGGGTAATTAAGCCTCGCACATCCCGAGAAGAAACTCACCCAGGGATGCGTTTCAAGCGTCTTAAGATAAAACCTCTTGGGCGTGTGCTTCGCACGTCCCAAGATAAAATCGCTCGGGCACGTGTTTCGTACGTCCCGAGATAAAACCCGCCCAGTGCCGTGTTTCACACATCATGAGGTATCAAAAGCAATACAAGATCAGACTAACAGTGGCGACCTGGATGGCCTTTTTGTACATTTTGAATGAAGAAAGATTTTGTCCTTCAAATTTCAGTTAGATGAAGGTGAGGAACATCTGAGTGAGGATGGGAAGGATGGCATGGTGGGAAGTGGGTTACGGCTGGAGGTGGAGGGGGAGGTGGTGGTGGGAGAGGTGGAAACTCCTTGAGTTGACGAATAAGACGTTGATGTTGTTCTTGATGTTGCTGTTCATGTCTTGGATTTAAGGCCCTGTTGGGCGGATTTTGATCTGCCA